CAAGCTAATTAATATCAAATCTTTTTACTACTCAGGTGGGTCAAGTGTCATAAATCTATTCTGTGATTTTTTTTAATTTTTTATTTATAAAAAAAAAATAGAAAGCAGAGCACTAAGTTTTAAAATGAAACAATTCAAGACCACACCACACCACTTTTTATTTTTATTTTTGGTATTTTGTTATGAGTGGGTCTGTTAATGAATCGGGTTTGGATCAAATTTTGATTTATCCGAATTTGAATCCGATTTTAAAAGTCTGACCCAAATTCGATCCAAAAATCCGACAAATTTTTATTTTTGTAGTCCATATCCAAATCCGTTAACAATCCAAAATTTGATCTCATCCGAATAACCTAAATTTTAAATAAATTTCTTTAAATAATCACTTAATTTCTTATATATATATATATATAATTCAAATTGGATATAGATATATCTTAATCTAAATTTGTGAAGTATAAGATATTAGATTTAGAATTCATGTTCAGATTATCGACAAAAAATATTAATCTATATATAACTATTCGGATCAAAATTAAGAGGCCTAATTAAGAGTAACTCTAGTGTTAGGCCTTAGGTTTGGGTCCTGATAAAGAAGGTTCCGGGGTCATATAAATCAAAAGGAAAGTGGCAAGAGATGGAGTGGACTTCATCCTCTCTCTCTTGCCTAAATATTCACTATAATAATAATAATATCCTGATGTTATTGTTACATGGTATTATTATTTAATAAAAAATAATTAATTATCTAAAATAAATTTTCTTTTTATACATAAGGTAGTTATTATATTATATAAAGATGGTGATTATTAAATTATGTGAAATCTATTTATTCTCTTATTAATGATAATATCACTGTTATATCAAACATTTTCTTGACCCTGCCGTTCCATCAATGAAATCCACAAAAAAATGGAAGATAAGGATAAAAGCATGCTCTATTTCCACCGGTCTGTCTTTTTTGACCAAAACATAAATAAGTTGCCTTCAAAAGTTATCACCAACAGCAACTAAAACAGTAGGCTTCTATTCATACTGCTTTTTATTGTAGAATTCAAAACAACCACCACCACCACCAAAACCATCCCCCCCACCCCACCCCCCCCCCCCCCAAAAAAAAAAAAAAAATCTCCCACACAATCCCACAAAAAAAAATGCAAAATAAAGGATATAAGGAAAAATATTGCTCTATTGCAAGAGTAAATATTGGGTGTAACGGAGATATCACGTGATGTCAATGTCATCAACCAATCACTCTTTCCGTTGATAAATATCTGTCGTTTAAAGTTTTTACATAGCGATTAAGGAAGTTATTAAATAACTCTAATATGAGTAAAAAATAAATGCACAAGACTAAAATATTCTTATTCAATACGTATTGAGAAGAAAATGAATATGAAAGTCACTTAACTTCTACTTAATCTAATGTATTGAAAAGTTAAGGGTAAATTTGGAAGAAAAAATATTAATTATGTTTTAGTTTCATTAAACGACAGATATTATGAAACAAAAAAAAATTGTATAAAACGACGTATACTTAAAAACGAAGGGAGTATAAAATAACAAATGAGATTGGTGAATTTTGTTATTCATGTAACAAAGATAGTTATTGGTAGTTTGAAGAAATAGTAGAATTCTATTAAATTTATTTGATATTTTATTGTTGGTCAGTGATGATATATTATCAATGTTGTGACGTAACAAACAACCTGTCTTTTTTGACCAAAATAGAGGAAAGTAGCGTTAAATAGTTCCACCAATGGCAACTATAGATTCCATCTAATCATACAAGTGGGGGCCACGATCTCCCTAACCAATGGCTAAACATGAGAAGAATAAGGTGGTTGGCTTGTGTTCTTGTTTTTGCCTTAGTATTTGATTAGGTACTTCAATGCCAACATATGAGTCAGGTAAACCAGTATTTATATTCTTAATGTGTGTCATATCTCTATAGGAAAAGAGTGCAGAATACAAAAGAAAACAAATAAAAGAGACAAATATAGGTATTTAAGTAATCAATCACACATGATTATCATTGTGCCTAACTCCTTAGGGGAATGAATGCAAAATTGCCATGCATCTCTTGCTTTGCCTCGTTATTAGATTCATTCATAGACATTTTTAGTTGAAACCGAACATGTAAAACTTAAATATCAAATATGTAGGAAGATCAGTGGCCGTTGAAAAGAGATGGTACAGAAGTGACGGTAAATGCTTATTCACATAAATGATATATCTTGGATTTGAGTTTAGACATCAATTCTTTTAAAAGGGTAAGATTGTCGATCACTTATCTCTCAAAAACCCACTATAGTCAAAGTCAAGTATAAATAGTTATTATTTACATTGGGCTGTATTAAGATGGGAGTACTAAATACAGATCTAACATTTTATTTTACTTATTTAATGTAACTGTACTCAAATTCAAACGAAAGATAACCTAGCAACGTTTCTACTGCACCAAAGTACCCCCCCCCCCCAGGTCTCCTCCCTCTTCTCTTATATTAGTGTGACAAAAAATGAAGGCCCACCAATGGCCACCATTCACCGCCCAAGGTAGGTGTTGGGTCCAAACTAGCACTTTGGTCTTCGACTTCTTATATATTTCCCCTTCAACAATCATATTGCTCCTCAATAACACCCACCCTCCTCCCCCCCCCCCCCCCCCTCCCCCATCTAAAAAAAAAACTCATCCCCAAGAAAAGTAAAAGGTGCTAATTTTTGACACGATACGAACAAAATATGAAATTAAAGGATCGGACACAAAATTATAAGAGTTAATGGGTTCAAACGGGTCAATATGCTTAAACATGAAAAAAATCATGTTGAGTTCATATCAAAATTAGGTCAACCCGATTTGACCTGATTAACCCGTATATTTTAAATGGGTTGATATGATTTGGACACGAACCCGACCTAACCCATTGTAGACCCGTTTATGACAATATAATTTACTTATTATGTATGACTGATTTGGTCTTAATATTATTACTTATTAGTTCTTGCTTCTACTATGATAATTGACAGTATAGTTCTTAACATTATTACGATAATATATTAGTATAATTCTTGCTTTAATTTTTGGGTTGAAACTTATGTGTAATTTAGTTAATTTCATTGATGAGATGTGATATGTTATTTGTAAAAAAATTATTTAAAATTTTGAATAAATAATTGAATTATGTATTTAATAGTAATGAACTGGTGTGAAAACAAGTTATGTGTGTTAAAGAAGTCTATGTTATATTTCTTAAACAAATTAAAAGGATCGTGTTATGTGTGTTAACCTAAAAATGACATGTTTATTAAACGTGTCAAATTGATCGAGTTCAGGTAACTCGTTTAATTGTCAGGTCAGGTTAGTGTTTACACATCTCGACACAATTATTAAACATGTCAGGTTTGGATTTTAAGATTTTTGACACAAACTCGAAATCAACCCAATACGAAATGACCCAACCCGATACATTTGACATCCCGACAAAAAAAAACAATAAAGAACAGTTATACAAGATTTAAATGGTTTTGCAATATATTTACCTATGAGAGTAGTTTTACCATATAAAAACTCTCAATAGAGGAATAACTTAGGAAACACAGATATGAGAATATTACAAAATTAAATAATATAAGACATAAGTATGATATAATACGACTAATTAAAATAATATTATATATTTTTTAGATAATTATAATATATTAAAAATATATGTTTTATAACAAGATTAATAATACAATCTAGCAAATATTAATTTTATATTAAAATTAAAATAGATCAAAATAAATATCCATCATTTTCATCAAACATCATTACATTCATAATCCATAAATTACATAATAAAAACAAAATAAAAAAGTTCTACATCCCTCTCAATAATTAACGGTCGTGAGATTATAAAGAAAATTTTGGTCGTATCTTAATCATGTCTAATTGAAAAAAAAACACAAATTTATTGTTTAGGACACTTCTAGCCATATCAAAGACGTGTCTAGTCATATCCGGGTCGAACATATGTCTAACACTATCACAACACCCCTCCGACAAGTATCCAAACTTCCAATGTAGCAACTTATTTATAGGCATCAGTTAATAATCCTAATACCCAAAGTTCTAGTAAATCTGATACACCCAATACTCGTAAAATTCATATACCAGATATACATTAAAATCTCCACTATACATATACCATCGCACACCCAAATCTATTGTGCAATTCTTGAGACTCGTCAATAAACATCTTTGGTGCCCAGTGGCGCCCACCCGTTCATTGGTTTTTAGGTTTAGTAAATACGAGTCATTCACTATTTCCAACAAACTAAAAACCCCCAAATCTAAAACTAAATTTTTATTACTATTCTGTAACGTCAAAGTTGCCTTCATAGATCATCTCCTTCCACAGTTTTTCGCTGTTTTTTTTTTTTTTAATAGTTAGGAATGTTTGGACTAACTTACACTTTAACTAATTCTCTCTCCGGTTCAATGAAAGGCAGGGTGTCAATTTTATCCATTAACCCGACCCTGACCCGACACAAAACTAGAAAAAAAACACAATTAGTTGACACGAATAATAAATAGATCAAATTAAAATACTGTGAATAAAAAATAAGTATTTAACGAGTATTGTAGATAAAAATAAGATTTTTTTAATTTTTAAATAGTATTATATGAATTATTATGGAATTAAATAATTTTTTTATTAAAACGAATCCGACACGTACCGAAAATAACCTAACACGACCGAAAATGACATGACACGACAAGATTAGAGTATTCATAAATAATAAATATCTCATGACCTGATCTCATGGATTATCAAGTTTCGAACTCAGGATATATGAGTTTATAGCTCGTCCCTAATATTATTTGACGGTTTTAACCTACTAATGGAGTTATTTCTTGCCGTATTTAGATCATAGTATAGGATTTTATCTCCAACACAACAAAGAAAATGGGTTTGTTTTTAGATTGTACCTGATCAAAATCCCTCCACATTCATTAACTCAATGCATAGGCCTAAGCGCGAAAAGGATAGCCCAGGAGACTAGTCCACACCTGGGCTAAAAGCAACAGAAACAGATCAACCAAAATTGTGAACAGCCCAGTTCCGATCCAAATCGTTCATGAGTATGTATATGGATCAAGATAGTCCACATTTAGCTTAATACAAATAGTTTCAGGCTACCACTTCAGTAAATTTTTTTCCCCTTTGCTTACATCCACTTGAATTGATCAAAGTCCTGCCTTTTGTCATGGGATAATCCAGCTGTGGAAGTTGAATGCCATTCCACAGACAGCCATAGCCTTCAAAGACACTCTTGAATGGGTCGATCAGTCAAAGTGAATTCCCATAAGCATACTGAACTGGTCCATCTGGCCTCCTTACCTGATATAGGAAACTTGAAACAGAAAACAATAGACCTTTAAAGATATGGACAAACCTATGGTACTGAAAGTAATTTTCAGTATCATTACTGAAAAATGATCTTCCACCATAGATTTTGATTTGGGTTTTCGTAACCATTGATCCCAAATACAATGAAATAAATCAAATCACTATTCATGTTTTGATTGGATAAAAAAAGTAAGTAGGGTACCGGAAAACTATTTTTTAGTACCAAAGTCTAACCTGAAAGATACACTTTGTATGCCTGAAAATGTTGCTGGTCTGACCAATAACCATTCGCAAAATAAACATCTGCCAATGCATTTGTAATCTTTCGGATAAGGGCATTACGTATCTATCAATCCCTTCTTAGCATCCTGTTGCTGTATTTGATTTTTGTGATGTCTTTAGGATGAGAACAAAATTTCTAACTAAACCTTCAAGCAGCTTGAATCTGACCTCCAGTTTTATTAACTTAATGTACTCTTTCAGAAGGTGTTCTCGACGATGGATGGATCATGGAATAATGGTTGAAGTCTCTATAAATGCGCATATAATCAACAGCATGCTACCTCAGAAAACCGACCATCAATTACACCCAATCAGCAATTCAATAACCTAACCTGAGTGATGTTGAGGTCTAAACATTCAGCCAGTAGTTTCAACTTTCTGTACACAACATCCAAAGGACAGCAGAGTGAACCTGTCACATTCAAAAGAGCTGGAGTAAAAAATATTGATTTATACCACTTCACCAATGTGCAACTTCTTGACAGAGTGCTTCTATTCATTTAACAAGATAAAGAAATATTTTTGGATGCAGAGCTAAGTCCCAATCTTTTCACCAAGATTAAGTTTGTGCGTAAACTATGGCATATAGTAAACTTAATTTTGTCAACCTTACAATCTGGCAATTGCAAATACCTCCGAGTAGTCCCTCAATGTCTCAAAAAACCTTCGAGATGATCCAGTCTTCTATTTAAAGAGAAAAGTTCTAATTAATTTTATAAGAAGTCATTTCTGAAGAATCTTCTGATAAGAATTCTCCAAAGGTCTAAGTACCTGCTGAATGGAACAGAAGTTTCCTCTATGTTGTCATTCTATTTTGAAACTTGGACCTTGGTTGCTACAAATAGTCAGAGACTTGTCCACCAAACTTGGAATCACTTGGTAATGCAAAGTACTTTCAACAAATTACACATAAATTCATTCAAATTCTCATTAACGCCAAGCCTTTACCACAGAAAAGAAATGCCACACTCACTTCTATTTGTGCTTTCAAAGCATCAAGTTATCTTGAGCAGACATCAAAGAAGCAATAGGATGGCATTTTGTTTTGAAAGGATATGGGAAAGTTACGTAAATGAAGGGAAATGTTTGGTAACCAGAGACAAGCACAACAGCTTCTCTTTTATTAATAGTTGATTCATGCATCAATTTCCAGTGACACCAAAGTTGAAGCTCCAGACAAAGGAAGAGTGATCTTGATTTTAGTACTGAAAGAAGAAAAGTTTCACCTTGTCTAAATTACTCAGTTTAAGTCGTATATTTGTTTTTCCAGTAAAATTCCTATTCAGCATGGTATAAAATCTTTATTGAAATCTTCACCTGTTATGTTTTCTCCTCCCGATGGAGAAATGTACATTTGTTTCTTGTAAGTCACATGCATTCATTTTGATTCTGGGAAATTTTCATAAAACACGTCACAATAGCTTGTGCTAAACTTGCAATGTCAAAAATGGCCTCTTTAAACAATAGAAAATCAAACTAACTTCAAAAATATTAAATGATTAAAACTGTAATACAAGAAGCAGCCCAAATTTACTGAAGATGCACAAGTTACCAATATTTTGCAATCTTAAATATAGATGCTGACAACTACTTTAACATTTGGAACATGAAAAATGTTAGACAAAGTTCTGAAGACTCTTCATGATCCTACAATATATAGGTCAAGCATATAAGAAATAATCAAAAAACCATGCACAAGTAAGCAAGTAATTGCACAATCTTAACAAAAATTTAACATACAGAATCACATCTTCGGATCTGCATCCTTGGAATTTTTCGAGTTTAAAATCCCTCGTCCACGTCAGAGTGCGCCGACTCTGTCCATGTCCACATGTCATAGAACAAGTTGATGAGCAAGGAATTTCAGCAGAAGCTAGGAAATCAGGCTATGAAAGCTCTGCTATGTACTGGAAAATATAACCATCCACATATTAAACTCTTTATGGTAACTACATAACACATTTACCGCAAAAGACTAAGTCAATAATACTTCATCCCCTGCCCAACTAAACGTTTTGAGTGTGTCCACTATCTCTTCAATCTTTGGATGAGAAAAATCACCTATCGTAAACTTTTCAAAAATTCCCTTCACTTCAATCAGACTATGGCCAGGCTCCTTCTTCAATCCACTTCCCTTCAACATCTTCCTTGCCTCTGCAACACCATACCATATCCCATCTGAAGCATATAAGTTCGACAATAACACAAAAGGCGAAGTTGTAACTGGTTGAAGTTGTAGGAGCCGCCTAGCCAAACGTTCACCAATTACAACATCTCCATGCAGTCGACATGCAGAAAGCAAGCAACCTAAAACCACTGGATCATGCCCAAAAGGAAATCTCTCCATGTACCCTTCAGCCTCATCTAGTCTCCCTGCTCGTCCTAGAAGATCAACAAGGCAAGACAAATGCTCAATATCAGGGGCAATCCCGTAGATACTATCCATGGATTTGAAGTAGGCTTGGCCCAAATCCACAAGCCCTGCATGGTTGCAAGCTGTTAGAAGTCCAATAAAAGTAACAGAATCTGGCTTCACTCCCATTTCCTTCATCTCCTCAAATAATTCAATCACTTTTTTCCCAAGCCCATGATTTGCAAATCCAGCTATGATGCTGTTCCATGAAACGAGATTACGACATCCCATTAGGTTGAAAATAGTGTATCCATATCCAATACACCCACATTTAGCATACATGTTTACAAGTGCATTCTCAACAATCACATCCTCAGCCAACTTTGTTCGGATAAGAAGAGCATGAACCTGCCTGCCATGGTGTATGGAAGCAAGGCCAGCACATGCAGCAAGCGCACTTGCATATGTGAAATCATCAGGCCTTACTCTATTTTCAGTTACCATCTCTCTGAAAGCAGTCAAACCCTTTGCATGATCATCACATTGAGAACAAGCAGCAATGAAGGTGTTCCATGAAATGACATCCTTGTCTGCAATCAATCTGAAGGCCTTCTCTATATCTACTATCACATTGAACTTTGAATACATTGTCATTATCACATTGCCAACAAACGGGGAGGAATCAAGTTTGTGCTTGATTGTCTGGCAATGCAGTTCCATTCCCCTTTGTGAATCCTCAGCTGTGCTGCACATTCCCAACACACCCGCAAAGGTGAAACGGTCTGGAATTAGTCCTCGTTGGCACATAAGCATGAACACTTGAAACCCTCTTTCTGGCTGCTTATTTTCTACCAGCCCAGTTATCAATGCATTATAAGATACAGAATCCGGTGCAGATGTGGTATCAAAAACTGATAACGCATCATTACATAGACCACATCTCATGTACATTGAGATAAGCGAATTCGCAACGAAAGAAATGAACGAATAACCTAATTTCAGTGACTGGGAGTGAATTTGTTGGCCCAGTCTAAGGGCCAACAAACTGGCACAGGCACTGATAGAACTAGCAAAGATGAACTCGTTGGGTTGGAGTCTCATTTGAGAAAAAAAGTAAAGTGCCATTAGAGGCTTCCCAGCCTGGTTAAAACCAGAGATCATAGCTGACCAGGAAACAAGATTTCTGTCAGACATTTCGTCGAACAACTGGCGGGCACAATTGATGTTACCACACTTGGCATACATATTCAAGGTATGATTGGAGACAAGAACATCGGAAATCATGCCTGTTTTGACAACAGCGGCGTGAAGAGAAAGTCCAAACCGAAAAGCCTTGGATTTGGAGCACTGGTGCAACAGTAAGCCAAGGTTTTCCGCTATCATGAAGGATCTCCCTCCTTAATTGACCACAGTTTTTCATATGTAACGAAACTCTCTCTGAAATTGGGTTCACTTCAAAGTGAAAATTTTAATTTACGAATAAATATTTCTACTTAGGGCGAGTTTAAATTTTAACAATTCAATTAAATTATGAAAAATTTTACGAGGGATTTCCAGGCTTGGATTGGATGACCCTCGGCTTTGAGTTTGCATGAACTTTTTGAACCTGGACCAGCCTTCTCTAATTCTAACTCAGTCTACCCAGTTACTTTCTTTAGTTGGTCCATTGGTTAGTCAGCCAATTTGTAGGCCCATATAAAACAGGCCGGCCCATTTTCAAAAAGCATCAACAGGGCAGCCTACCCCACTACCCACTCCCTCCCCCAAAAAACACTCCTCCCCAACAAAATAATAGAAAGAGATGTGATTCAATAAAAATTTGGCATTGAGCTCGAGATTGAGTCGAGTTAATCGTGGAGCTTAGATTATTGCTTATGAAAGGACAAAATTTACTTGAACGAGTTCTATTCAAATTGAGATCCGAGCCGATTTTAAACCGATCAAATGATTTTAATACCCTGTTTGAACAAAGGACTTGAAGTCTAATAACATGAAAACAAACTGAAACGAACTCATTCACCCAAAAATGGAAAGAATTTAATATTTTCAACAAATTTTTCGAATTTTTCAAAGGGTGCTGTCATTGATTTGATAGGAGTGAAGAGGAGAGAGTGAGAGACAGAGTCATTATCATAGGGTGAATTAGTTACATGTTATCTGGACTTTAATTCAATAAGTTGATGATGACCATAATCTTAAATTGATTTGAGGGCACAAAAAAGATGAGACTAATGGGAGTGATTTGTCATTTTTTAAGCACCACAAGTCAATCTGCTCTTCATGTCGACAACAACCCTTGGCCCCCTCCCATTATAGTTTTGTACAGGAGGGAAGCCTTTCTCTATTTATCCAGAATAAGTGATCTCTCTTTCGGTCTACTTATGTTAGTTCAAATACTCCTGGTCGTTAAAAAAAAAAGAAGTGATCTTATGATTTTATAGTGAATGAGCCAAATTGTGACACAATTATGAATGTCATTCAAAAAAGTCATTCAGCAAGTTAATTAGTCAAAAATATTGAATCTTACTTACCATTGTAAGGAGTGTTTTGTGATAATGTCGCACTCCACTTATTCCGTATTTATGACATACCGTAGATTACAATTAGGTTATTATTAATTTGAAAAAATAAATTATTTTTTGAACCAATGCATTTTCTGTGGGATATTAGTCACGTTTATAACTCAATTTGCAACAACTTGGTTTATTTATTTATATTATTAAACTTGTCCAAGTAAGTGTCTTCTTCTTATGTACGAACAACAACGTAATTTCAATTTGCCGCATCTGAGTATTAAATGTCGGACCATTAAGTTGATTAAATATACTGAGTGAGTGGGTGAGTGAGGTACCTTATACATAATTTTTCAAAACCTAAAAAGAAACATCAAATTTTTTCAAAATTTATGAGGTGTCTGTGGTATTTTAAAAAATATGAGGGGGACCATGTCCCTTTGGACCACAACATGGCTCCATCCCCTCTCTCTATGTCTCTCTCTCCGCTTGGCTCGTTAATTTCAGCTCTTTCAAATTCGACTCGTTTATAAATGAGTTAAATTTGAATAAATTTTTAGACCCGTTTAAAAAAATGAGTCCAAAAAATTTGACTCAAACTCGACATGTTTAACTCATTTATGTGCAATTATTAGGGTAGACTCACTCCGCTCATTTAAAACGAACCAAATTTGAACAATTTTTTGAATTGGTTAAAAAAACACTAGCTCAAGTTCAAGCTCATTTGACTATCGGACCTACTCTCCACACACACACACACAAATAGTGCGTACAAAAAAAAAAAAACAATGTTATTGAGACAAAATTCATTATAATCATTGAATTGATGACAAACCCTATTAAATTTTAGAATTTGGTATTAATTCAACAGTTATAATTAAGTCACATCATCATGTTAGCTAATTAGATCAAATTTTTAAATCCAAATAACATTACTAAAAAAAAAAAACATTCAAGTAAATCATCAATCCTAACCGTTTGATTGGTGAGAGCATTAAAAGCCAGCAAGTATAATAAATGTTAGTGTTACAGTGAATTACAATCAAAACTACCCGACTAGTGGATATTAGAGCAAAAAATGTGGTGGCTAAATTTTTTTATCAAATCAACTGAACCATTAGATTAACGGGTCTTGTTGAAAAATTAATAGAATCTATTGATATGATAGTTTACGGTAATTTAATGAGCAAATTTAATAATTCTTTTTGAAATTTATTGAATATGCTGCACTTACAAATGAATATCTTCAAAAAATGGGTGTATGGGTAATTTATCATTTATCTCTCTCTAATTTTATTTAGAAATAAGAGCGTGGTGTATTAGATTTGGCCTTTTTATAATAAATATTTTTTTTTCATACTAACAAAACTTATTTTTATCAATACATCTACAAGTTACTTCTCAATACCGTACTTTTGTTTATTCTCCAACAACCACACGACACATGTAGAGTTTTGTTATTTTATTTTATTATTATTCACAAATCAACAATCACAATTAAAATAAATTTCAATACCATGGTCTTATTACTAATGAGTATTACTTTAGGGATTGTGCGTAAGACTGATAATTGAGTGAGGGCTTAATTTTGATAGAACTCGATTTAAATTTGACTCATATTTTTAAATTAGTTGGGTTTAAATAATTTTTTAAATTTATTTAAAAGACGAGTTTAAAGAATTTTACTCGACCTCTCGGCTCCATTGTCAGCCATTTTGTCTTGGGAGGTGTCACATCAACATGAAAATGAGATCATTTCGTTTGTATTGAATGTCATGTTTGGGAGAATCATTAATACATTTCCCTATCCCGACACATGGTCTTACTCAAAGTCACATGTGCTGTATAAAGAAAAAGACAACTCTGGTGGGGGCGTCCCTCACATGGTGCTCAGAAAGCAACAGCAGCAAAAAAAAAAAAAAAAATCAATTGCACAAAAAACAGAGTACCAAAATCACAAGAAAACGTATGTATCATTAAAATTTATTATAATTGAGGTAAATTCAAAAATCAGCCTCATCAAAATTAGAATAAATTTTGTACCATTGTTTCTATCCAGATTTTCTTATCGATGAGGAGTCTTATGTATTGGGTATAATTTTTTATGTTCATTTATGGGGAATAACTTACTGAATAAACTAGAGTATTTTCTATTTTTATTTTTGCTAATATATGCTATTTACCTATATATTATTTAATATATGTATATATCATTTTTATCTATTATATATTATGAATACATTAATATTAGATACAAATATAACGATAAAATATATATTTATATTTTTTTAATCTTACCAAACACACAAAAATTCATAAATTCCTACTTCTCATCTCTACTATAAAATACAAAAGAGGAAAATAATGATTCATATGTTGAAAGATGGAAAGTGTATTACTCAAATTTTTCATTCTTTTATTTTTCATCCACTCAACCAATTACACCATTAAGGTGATCCACTGGTCATGTCTGCATTCTTATAAGAAATAGGTCTCAGGTTTCATATTTCCTACATCTTTTACGGTTCAGTCATCCTTATTTCTCATGGGGTATGTCCTTAAACTAACTTGAATTATGACGGCCGACTTAAAATTCGAGAAAGTAATCGACACAAACTTAAACACCTTGTAATTGAAAAAAAAAACTAAAAACTAAAGGAAACCCACCCATATTAATTTAGTGGGTGAATAAGAGTTGTAACATAAATTCGCACGTATTATGTCTGAGTTTTATAAATAAAAAATATTTGAGTTTAATCATATGTTTAAGGTTTTCATTGAAGTCTTAAGTTTGAGGAAAGCTTAATTTGGACGATTCCACATTGCCAAAAAAAAAAAAAACACTTGAGAATCTCATTCTTCTTTAAATAAAAAAGAGTCTAGAATGCCAGCTATCTCATTCCTAATGGGAAAAGGTAGGAAAATCAAATTTGATACACTTCCGTGTCACATAAAGTTGAGCATCAGATGTTGTGTAGACTCCAGACCCATGTCCATTTCGAAGTAATCTTACATAAATTTAAAAAATAGATGATTCCTAAAAAAAAAAAATAATGAGTTTCAATAAATACTGAAATTCACAATAAAATCAATGATTATAATTATCAATTCTACTTTTTAGATTTATTTTTTTAATTCATATAGTATTGCTCTATCCATTTGGATATGCACATGACTTGCTGTTGAATTACCCTTCTTCTAGGTTAAGCAATCCAAAACTTTTTTGACCTTTGATTTATGAGCTTGCATTACTCACGCGTTTCGAACTTCCATTATATCTTTTTTGACCTTTGATTTATGAGCTTGCATTACTCACACGTTTCGAACTTCCATTATATCTATTATTGGAAATTCTACCCATATCAGAAATCAACAAGGAGTTAAAAAAATTTGAGATTTAATCTTGATAAACTTGAGTTATTTATGGGTAAACTTATCAAGTCTGTCAACTAAATGATTTGGTATGAATTTGAAATAAACTTGATTCAAATTGAAGGTTCAGGTAGATGGAATAATATAGGAGTGTGTTTCAAGTTTTGGTATACTCAAGTTTAACTTGAGTTGACAATTGTAAGCTTGAGTTCCATTATTGAACTTGGATTCTTACTCCCTCAATTTTGCTTGTTTATATGCTGATAAATTGAGTTCAAGCTCGATGAAACAATAAAACAATTCTATCGAGTCGAGTGTAATATTGTTCTGACTCGACTTAAATATTAAACGAATTTAACAATTTGATATATTCTCTGTTCCTCTATTTACATGATATCAGAAAAAGCTTATTCACATTAATCTTCTCTTCAAAGACTACACGGCAACTTGCCACTAAACCACCCCCCCTCCTCCACCCCCAAAAAAAAAAATAGTTTTTTGAGGGGCAACAATGACATTATAATAAAAAACTAGGGCTACCTGCGTAATTAAATACATCCGCCCGTTGAAATAAGCACCCATAAATGAGAAATGGATCCGACAGGAAACACTTGAATGCTCCGATTTTTTTATTCTCTCTTTCTTGACTGCAATATTGAAAAATAATAATAATTTAATCTCTGAGAAAAATTTAATCATATTTAATTAAACA